TTTTTTTAAAAAAAATGTCATTGTCAATTTTAATTGGGTTTGGGATATTCTATTTATTTTTTTATTTTTTGTTTTGTATTATGTTTCTTTTAATGTTGTACGCCGACCTGAGTCCTTGGGAGAAGGGTGGCATATAAATCTAATAAACCTAAACCTAAACCTACTGGTTCTCTGAACTATTCAAAATTTCCGCTATCAGTTCTCCAGAACTGGTCAGAACCTGCTGAATACCACCTCTGCATTGCTTGATGCAAGAAAAATATCAACCAATTGTTTTGTTTGGCTGCAGCTAAGGCTTGTCAGGTGACAGTGACATATTGCAATTTCTGCATGTGTATTGGACACTGATATACATACAAAAGGCATTGAGCTTTGATTGCAACATATACCTGCCATCTTATGGATTTTGACTCTTTCCTTGGACACCTCTACATAGACATGCCTTCATGTTTAATGAGACAACTGAGACAAAGCTTAGGAAATACTTCTTGAGAAGTATCCAGATGTTGCAATTAATGCAAAATGTAGGAAATATGCTGCTAAGGAGTACAAAAAGTGTCAGAATCTTATCATGATTGTACTGAAAGATCATCACTTTTTATTGTTGCTTACTGTACTTGATACAATGTAAGCCATCAGTACAAAAAGGTTTTAGGCTTTTTATTTAAAGGTCTGCATTTCCTGTTATGCACCTGCTGTGATTTGCAGGTAAGCCCACATTCTTTCTGGCAAGACGAAGGGGATCTTCTTCTGTTGCTCCCAGGCTTTGATATGACCTTCCCTACTTTCTTGGAAGGATTTAAGTAATTTATAAAGGTGCTTCTCTTCCATAAGACTTTCAATTGTTAATTAATTTTAGTAACAACTTCAAATGCTTGTCAGAGTAAAATACCAAACAAAGGATGAATAAATGCCTTCTTTGCCAACCAAAGCTATGCATGTTTCTCAGGAGACATCCCTCCCTCCATGGCAAATTGATTGAGCACAATTCTTATTATGCTCTGCTTGGAATTTGCCCAACTGACCAGTTTGGGATCTACTCTTCTATAAAAATAGAGGATCACAGTACTATATTTGCCCAATAAAAAGTTCCAATTTTGCCCTCCCCCCTGATGGAATTTGAGGCTCTCTCGATTGTAGTAGGTCTGTTGTTTGGATGCTCTCTCATCAGGCGCTGAGCCACTTCAGATATCTTGACTTCAGCAATGCTGCTATATTATCATGTGCCTTCAGACTTTGCCCATTAGTTGGTGAGGGAGCTACCATATTTTCCTCTCTAGTGTCTGAGGGCTGTGCAGCTGTGTAAGAGGCGTTTATTTGTACATCAGCCTTCCAGATCACTTATTTTTATGATACAATTAGCCACCTCATTACCCTTAAAAAAAGAAGAAGACGTACATCATGCTACTGGATTTCGTCTGGCCACTCCACAAATAAGAATAGCAATAGAACAAGGGTATAACACAAAAGAGTTCAGGTCTCTATCTCTCCAGCCGCCCCAATGCCCCATGCATCATACTGGTATTACCATGAAAAAGAAAGAAGCAGAACATCTAGATGTGCGTGTGTGTATGTGTGTGTGTGTGTGTATGTATGTTATATATGTATGTATGTATGTATGTATGAAAAACAAAGTATATCTTCCCATACCCATACATAACACACACATATATACTGTTACTCACACACACAGACACATTTTCTCCCTTTCATTCCCCCAAAGGCCAAAAATGCCGACCCCACAGACATTGTCTCCTCTTGGCTGTACTTGTCCCAGCGCCCCCTGTCCCTTCGCCTCCGTTGCACCCACAAAACAGGGGACGCTGCAAGCCACCCACCTTCTCCTGAGTCCAGTCCGCTCTGTCTTCTCGGCCACCTACATGCTGCGGGAAGCCCGGGAGAGCCAAGCAGAGTGCCCAGGCCAGGCAGAAGAACGCCGCCGCCTTGCTATCTCGTCTCTCTCTGGCCATGCCGTTGCAGAAGCAGCGGCCCCTCTATCGGCTGGGCAGGGGGCGAAGCCGACCCCAGCTGCAGGTGAAGGAGGCTCGCTCGAGCCTCAGAGCGAGGCAGAATCAGGCGAAGAAGCGGGCTCAGCGTTGGCGAGCAGGCGGCGATGGGACAGCGGCGGCGCTTCGCTTCTGCCTTCCTGAGGCGCTTTTTTGGCTCCGCGTCCGGCGAGTTTCTGTCTTGCCTTGCCTACGTAACGCGGCGGGAGAGATGCTAATTCCCATCCCAATCAGTCCGTTTTCCCCTCAGGAGTGGGTGGGCGTTTTGTCCCTGGCACCACGTCAGCAGCATCAGGAGGACAACAGATGACTAATCCCGCCACTTTGGGCTGCAGCCAGAAGGGCAGCTCCCCCGTTTCCTCCTGGTCTTTTCCTCCCAAAGCGAGCGAGGCTCTTCTATGCTATAGATGGTTTTTCCACTGATAAAAGTGAGCAGCGAGAGGCGCCTCGTGATTATCATATTATTATTATTATTATTTTACTTTTAAGATTATCGTGAAGTAATGAATCAAAGCGTGTACTGTATTTCTCTCGAGTTGTTTCCTATTCCAGACTGATCAGCCGGCAAAACATTTATAAATTATTGGAAGGATATGGGATTTGGGAGACTTTTTAGTGCGACGACATTAACGGTATTACTGAGCAAAGCTCTTACAAGCAGCTCAGCAAACACATTGAATTCCACCTACTGGAAGCTGGTACCTTTCTGATGGGTTGGAGAACAAAAATTCTCCAGAATTCCCAGTCAGCATGCTGGGAATTACAGTTTAACTCGTTTGAATGTTTGCCTGATTGTGGAAAAGTTCTCCATAAGTTTTCATAAACCGGATTCAAGTATAAGTTCCTGCAGAATGTTTATCTTTTAGTACACTAACATTATTTTTTTAATCGATTCTACACTGAGTTTGGGAAACTTTTTTTCCATTTGAAGGGTCCCTTTCTCATTGTTTCCCCAGCACAGTATGTATGTTATCAAATATGGATTGCAAAAATCCTGATGACTGCTAGATGCTAGAAAACATTAAGGATTTTTGTAAATCTTTGCTGCTATGTAAAATGATAAAAAATACTGGTGCCCTTAGCTGATAGCCCCTACTTATGGGCATAAATAGTGTGTTAAGCATATGATAAAACATGTGGTTTTAAAGAGTAAAGAGAAACTCAGCTTTTTCCCACTTCATGAATGATTGTTCTTTGTCCTGAGTTGGCTACCATAGTTTTATTTTATAAAAAAGGAAACAAAAATAAACAATAGTATCAGTTAGCCAAAATTTGTATATAGTGTGAACACACCCATTGAGTGGTTTACCCAACCTGCTAAATGAAATCTGTTTAACCCTTTTTAAATTGAATACATAGTATCATAACTAGCTGCATTGACACAACAGACTAAGCCACACCAAGCAAACATTGTGACTGGATTAACCTGATCAATAAATAAAAGGAAGCACTTGTCTCAGGGGTGTCAAACTTGATTTCAGAGGACCACTTCAGGATTGTGTTTGACCTTGGGGGGGCGTGATGTGTGTGGCCAGGGTGGACATTGCCAGCTCGACATCACTTGTGCCGGAGGTGCCTGTGGTGGCCCAAGTGCTCTGCCAGCGAAAACAGGCTCACAAGCTCCATTTTTGGCTGTGACGGCCTCCTGCAACCCTCTTCCAGCAAAAATGGAGCCCAGGAGGTCTGTACACAGCCCTCCCGAGTTCCGTTTTCTGAGGCAGAGACACCATGGGTCAGTCTTTCGTTATTTCCAGGGTGGCCTTGCGGGCCAGATCTAAACACCACATGGGCAGGATTTTGACACCCCTGACTTATGTGATATTCAACAGTCCTACTAGGAAAGTTCCTCAAATAACTAATGAATTCACAGGTGTTAAGCTAGGATTGGTTGATATTTCAGTCCTGAATAGTGCCTCTAAGGTTTGAGTCACTTTTGCCCAATTATAAATTAACTGATCTAAATAAATTCCTTCCAACTTTTGGACATAGAGACAGAAGGCTAAGGAGCTGCAAAAAAGGACTGCTTTAGTTAACACCATATCTTCTTTTCTATTATTTTTACACATCTGCTCTGCAGGAGCTTGTTTGTATGTGTGAAAAGGGGATGAGTGAAAGCAGAGAGAGCAATTTTCCATCTCTGTAAGTGGCTTTAATTTAAAGGAACCACTGGAGTTTTTAAATATGTCAATAAAAGGAAGAAGATGGGCTGTGAAACTAACCAAGGTACCTGTTCTTCAGCAAACTGAGAGTGCTTTCTGATAGCTGAGTTGCTTGACAATGTGTTACAATGCCAGAAATCCAACATTTTAGTTTAATCCAAAAGGTAGTTTGCTTCTTTGTAGCCTAACATATAGTACAAACTCAACCACAGTTTGTAAACCACAAATACTGTATTGAAAAAGCATTGTTTATTGAACAGTAGTTTAGAATATTGTGTGAGCATAGTTGGGTTAATAACTTCCCCAAGATTCACACCAGACATGCTTTTATATGTGGTATAAAGACATCAGCTGTCCTCCTCCTCCTCTGGGAGATAACTGGTCATATGCAAATATACTGTACAAAGACTACTGTGTATATATTGCCATGTTGCAAAATATATTTATAATAAATGTTTTTAAGAAGGCCATCCAAAGAGATTTTAATTGATGCATATTAAGACTGCTGTTTCAAGTTATTATATCACATTCAGTACAGTAATCAGAACTCACCACTGGGAGTTGGATATTTCCCTCCTAGGTAGATAATTTTCCTTGTCAGAAAATTCGAGGAATCACAAAAGGAAGGTCTTTATGCAAGCTGCAGCTGAGCTGACTTCGATGTGCTCAGTAATTCTGATTCATATCCTGTTATGAATCCGGCTGCCTTAATGGCATTGAAGAAGTGCCAGGAGCCTGACAAAAGAACATCAGTGTTTTTGTGACTTGTGGACACTTGTTTAAATGGGATTATTTCCTTGCAGAGATGCATAGAACAGTGTTAGCAATAGACATCTAACTTCATGGTGGCATTCACACAACACACTGAGCTACAATTGATCTAATCTAATTTTCTGAGTTTGCAGACTACACTAAGTCGTAAAATAGCACATGGACTGGGCTCACAAAGCATCCTAGGCAGTAAGAGCTGGTTGACTAGTTTGTAGTTCATAAACCACAATCATTAAAGACACATTCACCCTCTCTAATAATTAAGGGCAATTTATGCTATCATCATCCCAGTCCAGCGCCATTCAACTAATCTTAATTTCAAATTTTGATTTCTGCAGTGACAATAATAACCAAACTAGGCTTATGGCCACTTGATTAATGAGCTCTTTAGGATATGAAAGAGGGAAGATGATAATATAAATAGCCAAGCTTTTAAGGGACATCTCTTTTTAGAATTTTAAGATAACATAAATTCATATTTAAAATACTGTAAATTTCTTGTACAATTGTTGAGCATAATGTTACAGTGCCACCTAATGGTTTACTATGCTGAACAAACTGTTTTGACCAGTGTTTATGTACAGTACATTCTCTAATTAAACAGATTCTCAGTTATTGAATGGCTTTCAGTTTTGTGAAGTTACTGGTGAATTTTATACAATCTATAACCCTGATCATGTTTGATAAGGCAGGAAGCTGCATCAAATATTGCAAAATCAATGCATCTCTTCCATTTCCAAATTTGGTCTTAGGATGGCAGGCATTGGATTAGGCACAGGTATTTTAAAGATGCACATGCACTCCATATTGTTGGATCATATCTTCTAACACCTGTAGCCAGCACAGAGAGCACCAAATCAAGAAATCCGATTTGGCTATAACAGTTGTTGGAAGGTGACCTAAATTTATGTGTAAAAGCTTATTCAAGCTGCAGTTGGAATATACATGTTATATTTTATTTTACAAAAAGTATTTGGACTGTTTGTAAATCAAATGCATAATATAATATGTAACTTTGGGGGGAAAATTCTGATTTTTAAAAAAATAAAAGTTGGCTCATAAGTAAGTGACATGAATTAAGTAGAATTTATTTTTAGGTAAGTAAATGTATACTGTATAGGATTGCAGCTATAGTATTGTTGGAAGAAATGTCCATCTGGGTTCAGTTCCAAGTGGGAAGAAAGACACTGGAAACATGGAGATTGCTTGGAAAGATGGTTTAATGGTAGACAGGACCAGATGGTTTGAGGTCCTGGGCAAAAAAAGTGAGTGGGTGGGTGAGAGAGGAAGATTTATAAATTTATACCCTCTCTTGGACTCCACCTTGGAGCTACCTGTTCCTGTGTAAGAAATGTAGTCTGATTGGTTGTCAGACTCCCATGGGGCCATGCAGGAGTAATTTTGTAGGTTTGTCTCGAGTCCCAGGCCTGTTTGAATCTTGCTGGGTGATGATGTAATGAAGGGGCTTTGGGCAATTCCTATTATGATTTAATGGCTTTGTCCTGGTTTGGATCTTGAGGAAGGGCTAATTCTATCACTTTGGAGCTGAAAGTCTTTTGTCTTGTAGACAACCAAAATATCTGCTGGGGGATGGGCAGGGAGCTGAGGCTCTGAGTTTGTCTTTAGAAACATGTTTCTCCTTTAGGGAAAATACAATATTATACCTTTTTAATATTTCATAGAATATTTCAGTTTTCTAGGAGAGGGGTGGGTGTTAACCTCTTACAGTATAAAAATGAGATGATATAAGTTTCTAAAATTAATTGGGGATGAAGGAGATGATCTAAAAATATTGTCTTTATTATGTAGTGAGATCAGGACAGAATTGCCGATGGGTCCCTGGAGATAGTTTGTTATATGTTGAAGATGGTCTGTATATGTTGAAGATGGTCTTTACTTAATCCACCAACGTGGATTAAGTAAAGTCGAGAAAGGCAACAGTTATTATAACAATAGGTTGGTGTTGCAGGTCTTCCTGCTGGAAATGATTATAGTCTGGACTTCCAGAATAAGGGAGAAGCCTGCTGGATTCAAAAACCACGTTAAGTAGTGAATTATACAAAAACCATGATCGCTGTAACCATCCATTAAGCCAGAACCAGACAAAGCAGTGTTACTTAGTGCACTGTGTGAGCTCAATTGTTGATCTGAGGTAACAATAAAACTTATGTTTATAATATCCTCACTTCTGCTGGCAAAGTGCCAGGACAACAAAAAGCTATACCATAGATATTCAGCCTGAAAGCTTGTCAATGCTTGAATCTGGCTTCTCTCTAATAATTGCTTTGGACAGAGTTCAGACCAACTCAAACTCTTTTGTCATAAGGATAAGAGTACCAAGCTGTCAGTTCTCTCATACCACAGCTTATTATATGCTAGTTGATCAATCTTAATACAGAGAAAAGCAACAAAGATGATTTAGGGGACTGGAGGTTAAAACATATGAAAAACGATTACAGGAAGTGGGCATGACTAGTATAGTGAAGGACCAGGGGAGACATGATAGCAGTCTTCCAATATACTTGTAGGGCTGTCACAGAGAGGAGTGGGTCAACCTATTTTTCAAAGCACCTGAAGGCCAGACAAGGAATAATGGATGGAAACTGATCAAGGAGAGATTCAATCTAGAAATAAGGAGAAATTTTCTGACACAGAGAACAATCAACCAATCCAACAGCTTGCCTTCAGAAGTTGTGGGAGCTTCATCACTAGAAGTTTTCAAGAAGAGATTGGACTGCCCTCAGTCAGAAATGGTGCAGGGTCTCCTGCTTGGGCGCGGGGGTTGGACTACATGACTCAAAGATCCCTTCCAACTCTGTTATTAGGTTTGTTAGTTGCAAAGTCATGCCAGACCCATCATGACCCCATGGATTACGTTCCTCCAGGCTTTCCTGTCCTCTTACCATCCCCCGGAGTCCATTTAAGCTCACACCTACTGCTTCAGTGACTCCACCCAGCCACCTCATTCTGTCGTCCCCTTCTTTTGCCCTCAATCTTCCCCAGCATTAGGCTCTTCTCCGGTGAGTCCTTCTTTCTCATTAGGTGACCAAAGTATTTGAGTTTCATCTTCAGGCTCTGGCCTTCTAAAGAGTAGTCAGGGTTGATATTATCTAGGATTGACCGGTTTGATCGCCTTGCAGTCCAAGGGACTTGCAGGAGTCTTCTCAAGCACCATAGTTCAAAGGCCTCAATTCTTTGGCGCTCAGCCTTCCTTATGTCCAACTTTCACAGCCATACATTGCAACTGGGAAAATCATAGCCTTGACTATATGTACTTTTGTTGGCAGAGTGATGTCTCTGTTTTTTAGTATGCTGTCTAGATTTTCCATAGCTTTCCTCCCCAGGAAAGTTATTGTGTTATGTGCTGCCATATCTGGGGGGCAGCAGATAAGCAAATATAGGTTGGAGGCTGCTTTATTCTTCCACATCTTGCAGGATCATTGTCTTTTTACTAAGCCTCCCATAAACCTCCAGTCTTGACTCTGGAGTACAGTATACAGCCCATCAATACTAGTGAGTAAGCGGAGGACTTTGAAAACCTTTCCATTAGGCAGAGCCCCAGTGCCACGCTGACCCACAAATTTATCAGCCACCATCTATGCTTGCACGGGGGATGGACCCAATCCAAGGGATTCGTTTTTCTGGTTGAATGTGTCGTGCAACTCCAGGAAATTTGAGTTAAAAAGAATAAACCATAAACCAAGTCGCATAAATACAGTCATCTCTTTGTCAAGAGAAACGAAACAAAGAGGCGATCAGGAGAGGCAAAAACCTTGCCACCGCAGCAGGCTTTGGAGGCCTATGGGGCGATAAATGGAATGGTTTATTCTCCTCAGATAGGAAGACACTGCGGACCAGAGGCATCTGCTGGACGGTCGCGAGAGAAGGTGGTGATCAAATGCGCTTGGAATTTGGGACACGAACAAGCGAAGCTCCGTTTTCTGGCTTCCTTCATCCAAGAGCTCGAGAACAGCGAAGGGGCTTATAAAAATAGTTCGACTGAGGCACGGAGAGGCTACTCATCGAGATATGGCATAGTCGACTGAAAGAGGCGAACCCAAATAAAACTTCGCGACGTCTCTCGGACGGGGGGTAAGTTCAAAATTAATTCCTCCTCTCGCTCAAAAAAAAAAGAAGAGCAGAACCCTTTGACGCCTTCATCTCCTGCTCAATCACCCCCCCCCCAATACTTTTCTCTGCTCCTCGTATTTCAAGGCTCCCTGCGTAACCCACCCAGCCTCCTCTTCGCGATTCAGAACATCAACCGCCACAGGCACTAGAAGTAACGGAAACTCGGTGCGTCTCCTTGGCGCCTGCGCTGTCTCAACCTTGCCGCTTCGCCGCCGCGACGGCCTGGCGGTCGTTGTAGTTCTAGATGGCTTTCATTTCGGGTGGAAAAAGGGTGAGGGAAAACTTCACTTCCCAGCATGCTTCTCGTCCCCTCCCGGGTCTCTTCTGGGGCGGCTGAGACTTTTTTTTTAGTGTGTGTGTGTGTGTGTGTGTGTGTCTGTGTGTATGTGCGTGTGTACATATATGTGCGAATGGGTGTCTGTGTGCGCGAAAGTGGGAGCGGCGGTAATAAGGTGCGTGTGAAGCCACCTCGTCCCGGGGCACAGTTTCTCGAACCTACAAGTGAGTGGTCAAGAGTTACGGGTGGCGAAGGTGAAGAAGAAACCCAACAGAAAGAGATAACATGGAAAGTTACTTCAGTCCGTAGGAGGCGGTAGTGCCGCCCTTCCCAGGGTACCGAGAGAGGGAAGGGAAGGGAAGCCGAGGCGAAGCGGAGTGAGGCTCGAACTCGAGGTGAGAGTTTGACTTGCAGGCTTCAGCTTTTGCGCCAAAAAGGCGACTACCGCTTCGGGACAGATGTTGATGTGACTGGGGGAGGGGAGGGGGTGACAAACAGGCCGACCCGGTCGCGTCCAGGTGTGGCAGGGCGAGTCTGTGAGTCTGAGGCCACATCATCTTCTCTCCCCTCAACCCGCCCCCCCTCCCAACTCTGAGGATGCTTCCAAGAAGAGTTGGCGGCTGCTTCGTTTTAAGAAAGCCTACTCCCTTTCTGAGGGGAAGTTTCTTCTCGTTTAGTATAGCCGGAATCGAGATCTTAAAAAGATTAAGGGGAGCCTCTTCTTTTCAAAATGCACAGACGCTCATAGAAGAAGAAGGATATCCCCAGCCTGAAATGGACCTCTCTGCCTGCCTTGGCTCAAATATTTGTAAGGTGTATTAACATGCCACTAGTAAAGGTATAATTTCCCTGTGGAACTTCTCTCGCCCCCCCCCCCTCTCTTTCTCCCCAGTTTTCGGTTTGGCAGATTTGTAGCTCAGGCCTTGGTGCTTCGTGAATATGCTTCGAAGGGTGATTGGTGGAACTTTCAATGATAGCGTGCGCGTAGTGGATTTACATGGAAACAATCACACACCAACACTTGTGAGGTTGAGGAAGTGGTGCATGGACTACTAGCGTAATTTTTGGTGAGGGTGTGTAATTAGGAATCTTTTTTTATTAAGGATGTTTGCAATATGATGATAATCTCATAATAATGGAGTGGTTGTTGTTAGCCACAAGCTGTGGGTAATGTTTGATTGAGAAATAATGGTATCAACAGAAAATGGAATGAGTCAATTCTGATGGGTCATTTTTCTTTATACATGACATTTACAACCTATGTTGGGATAATGCAGTGCCTGCTAATAACTTTACCAGAAGTTAACAGCATTAGAGCAGTGATGCAGATTGGTAGTAAAGAGAAAAATCATGATTTACAAGCTACTTTCCATTTTTTATTTTTCAGTCATTTGTTTGAAGTTCATCAAATAAAGATTGTATTACTGGTAGCAAGTCAGTTCATATTTTAGGGTATACATCTCAGTTGTGTGAATGAGGTATGTTAGTGAGTTACATCATTTTGTATGGTATAGAGAACTTCACATGGATACAGTTGTTGTTTTTTAACCAAAGAAAAATGAGCTCAGCCGAATTCAAACTTCCTTCCAAACAAACATGTGTAAAGTTGAGTTTCACAAACTTTGTTATCTGCATCATCTCTCTTCTTACAGATGCAGTGTCTTATCCAATGTATGAGAAAGATATAATTGGATATTGAAAATTAGGGACAGTTTAAAAAACAAACAAACTTTGTGACTCTCCTCTCCTTTTGTTGGTTTGATAACTTTTTAGTTGTTGCACTTTCTTCTCTACAGTGTGGCTACTATGGAGCTTGCCAATTTGTCCATTGTGCAATGGAGATATTTCTGCAGCCAAACAATATCAGCCTTCCTCTCAATCTTAGACTGCAGAGGAAATCACAGAATAACTACATTGTAGTTATAATTCATATGGGTCTTTATTAAAGGTACAGACTTATATGAAGTCTGGGATTAAGATAAATGATGGGGTTTATAAATACGGAAGCCTGCTTCAAATTCTTGGACCCAGAAGAGGCAAAAAGGTTATTTAACTGGTTAGCAGTGAAAGGGTTAGCTTTTAACATTTTCAATATGAAACTAATCACTTGGAATTTATTTAACTATGAATGATCTATTTTTGAATAAATGAATACAAATGGCTATTAAAAATAATGTATGATATTTTTCTGAAATTAATTTTGGTGCTACTGCAGTTTTGCATTTGAAAGAGACATTTTTAAATTGAAGATGTAATCTGACTAGAGTGACTGCTCCTTTCACGTGTATAAATATTAATTCTAAACTTTTAATATCTGGAAATTATTAAATGTCTGCAATGTGGAACTTGATGTTCAGCAGCCTTTGAGCTTATCAGAGAAGAAAGTAGGATATAAATAAAATAAAAATGATAGCAATTTTTCTGGACTGAACTTTTTTTTTTTTGATTAGCTTGATACACTGTTTTTGTGCCTTATACTTAAGAATTTCTTTGCCGCTTGTTAAGACAAACATAATTTAATTATATAGCATGAAAAAGTTTTTTGTCAATATACAGCAGTTAATTTAAGTGAATCTATTTTTTCTTTACATTGTCCATTTTAGCATATACAAAACTAGTATTGAGGACAATAAAATAATAATTAATAACAATAAGTATAAAAACTGAAACATCATCTGTGTCTTGGATCTCATGCAGCTTGTTGCAGCTTCCTCTACTTAGCTGGCTTTTTCTTCAAGTCAGAATGCTTCTGCTAAAATTTATCTCTGTTTTGGTCAGGCTATATGGTCAGGCTATATTTATTCTAGATTGTTTGGCACTGTATAAACAGCATACAGTAATTATACAGAAAGATAAATCTTATTGAAAATTTTATTATGGTTATCTTCTTGATTTGCTGAAGATCTCACTGGCACTGAAATAAATATGTTTTTCTACAAACCATTTTCTGTAATTGTATTTTTGGAGAATGTGACAGTGTAGAGACCTTGAAAAGTCAATAGTTTATATCCATTTATGAACACTTTAAGGAAGTTTAAGTTTGCTATCTTGTCTTTGGTTCTCTTTGTGTTAAAGTTATGTAACTTTGTTGCTTAATCCACTAAGAAAAATCTTGTTCTAACATTGAACTGAATCCAGATTTAGTCATGCTTAGAGTAGAATTGTTAAAACATTAGGACAAAGTATGATTACATCTGGGTGAAATCTACTGTAAGTAAATAAAAATAATGTTCCAAATTTAATATAGCTGTTACTCTATATTTCTTTACATCTAAAAATGTTATTTTAAAGAAAATATGCAAAAATTTTGTCTTATAAAACAATATGTACTTATTTCCCTTGAGTGAATGAACTGTTATCTGAAAGGGGCACCTATTTATGTTATTAGTGTCAAGAGAAATACATTTTAGATATCTATGAAGATGTATATAGTATAAATAAGTAGATATCATGCATTTAACACAATGCAACTTACTCTAAATGATCTCATTTTGAATCGCAACTTTAGTGTTGAATAGCAGTAGACTGGCAACATATATTTAGTCATCAGTGTGAATTTCATTCACATATGGGCTTTGTTTCAAGTATTTTCTCAAGATTGAAAATCAACATTCTATAAGTCATATTTCTGTTAGAATAATTTCTTGCTTCTTCATTATGTTCTGAATATGCAAATGGTGTTTCATTCCATTTATTTCTGCAATTTCAACATTTTATTAAATATGTAATCCTGCCTGTAATATGCTACTTCTTGGAAGTTTGTGGTCACAGCACAACTTTTGAAATATAAGAATGCATTTAGACCCAAAATAATTTATTATTGAATTTAGATAATGTTGCAACTAACACATAATATTCTATATGGGCTTGCTTCCTATCCTAAACTAAGGTCGGGAAAACAGTTTTTTTTTTAAACCATCATGGTCATATACATCTCTGGGGGACATGCTATTCCATCTTTTTTATATAATGCTTTATATATAGTTTCCTCTGTTACATTCCTTTTTTGCAGCCTAAACCTTTTAAGGTCTTAAAGATTTAAATTGGACTTCTGCAATCAAAATCAAGTTTAAAGTGGCCCCTAAAATGAATATAAGTTTAATGCATGATAAGAACTCTTTGTGATTATATTTTATTTGTTCCTAAGAAGATAAGTTTATAAATTTAATAACTTGTCTCTTTCTAAAAATAAATATCAATAATAGAGAATTTATGAAATAAAAGTTAATTCAAAAACACAATTATACTTTTTTGTTTAACATTGTTTTTAATTAAAGATAATAATTTTATCACCACATATTAGCACAATTTAAAAACTGATGATGTTATTCTAGCATTTTATAAATATTATTCAGATGTTCATAAAAATAAATTGATCTGAATTCTAAAATTTTCACATACATTTGCTTGATAGTATGTCTGCCTGTTATTTGTCAAAAATCTGAAAAAATATTATATATGGTATGTTTCTTATAAAAAGGAAAAAAATCCTCTTTAAAATTAAAATGTCTGTATTCTGAATATATTCTACAATGAGAAAGTAGTTCTACTGGTAATAGAGATGAAAACAAACAAATGTAATTGCATTTAATTAAAATTCTTTTGGCTAGTAACTAACTTGTAATTTAAATTAATTTTTCCTGATGATTTAAACCATGATTTAAATTGATTTAATATTTAATAACATTACATTGATTTAATTTAAATCAACCCACATAAATACTGTTTTCAACCTACATAATACTCCACAGTTCTCATTATGGGGACTAGTAACTAAATTGCAATAGAAGATAATAGTGCAGTGATTCCCAGCTTTTGGGGGTCAGTGGCACATTTGGAATTTTGAGAATTTGGGCACTCCCATCAAATGGCTGTCTTGGCCAACAAACCATGCACAAACTTATACAGTACAAGAAAGCAAGTAAAGTTTCTTGCCAACTCTTGCAGCCTCCCTCTACAAGCTATCATATGATCATTTTATTTCTTTTAGTAAATAGCTCTTTCTACATACAATATTTCATGAGAGCATCCATGTAAATGAAAAGCTGACATTGCTTTTTTCCCAGTTGGAGAATTGTTGACGATTGATAACTACCGTATTTTTCGGAGTATAGGGCTCACTGGAGTATAAGATGCACTAAGGTTTTGAAGAGGCAAATTAAAAAAAGTAGGTAGGTAGATAGAGGGATAGAGAGGGAGAGAAAGAAAGAGAAATACAGTAGATAGGTATGTAGGTAGAGAGAGTAGTTAGGTAGGTAGGTAGATGGATAAAGGGATAGAGAAATAGAGAGACAAATACAGTAGGTAGGTAGGGAGTGAGTGAGTAGGTAAATAGATAGAGGGATAGAGAGAAATACAGTAGATAGGTAGGGAGAGAGAGAGTGTGTGTAAGGTAGGTAGGTAGAGGGATAGAGAGAAATAGAAAGAGAGAGAAATACAATAGATAGGTAGGGAGACAGAGGGTAGGTAGGTAGATAGAGGGATAGAGAGAGAGAGAAATACAGTAGGTAGGTAGGGAGAGAGAGTGTGTGTGTAGGTAGGTAGGTAGATAGGTTGTGGGATAGAGAGAGAGAAATACAGTACGTAGGTGGGAGAGAGAGAGTAGGTAGATGTTTCCAGGTGTATTTATCCATGTGCTGGAGAAGGAAATCACTGACAAACCTTAAGACTTTGTTTCTGCTGGCACAGCACTTGATCAATGTAATTCTCATCAGTTAAAGAGCTTTCCAAAAAGAAAAAAAAAGTTTTAGCACTCTGCAAACCTCTGAAAAACGGCCCGTTTTTTTCAAATAAAAGGCATGAATACCCTTGTGGGGGGGGGCTTGCAGAGTGCTTCGGGGGGGGGGGCAAAAAGAGCAAAAAGCCCTGTTTTTTGTCAAAAAATTGCATGCATAACCTTATGGAGGCTTATAGAGTGCTGCTGGGGGCTGGGGGGGGGGACGGACCATTTTTTGCTCATTTCTGCCCTCCCTAGCTCCCAGAAGCTCTCTGAAAGCCTTCATAAGGCTATGCACCGTCATTTTGGTGAAGGGACGGGGCTTCGGGAGGCAAAAAATGCTGTATTCGATGTATAAGACGCACCCAGATTTTCAGCCTCTTTTGAGGAAAAAAGGTGCGTCTTATACTCCGAAAAATACGGTACATGAAATAAAAAATGCCAACAAACTGCACTTTTTAAAGTATATTTTACTTGAGTTTCCTGTGATTGCAAGAAAATGTAGCTTTACTGCACAGAATGTATCTACTTTGTATTTGTGTTCTAGATACTCATTCCTGCTATTGTTTTGAGAATAGTTCTGACAAGTTGTTTTTAATTTCTCCAATTTTTCTATAATTTTCTATAAACAGTAACTCAAGGAGACTTAAAATTCATTTTATTACTCCTCTCTATGAGAAGGTTGACCTCTGTCAGATTGTTTACCCATCTAGTTCAGGGTAACTATCAGCAACCTTCCAGGCTCTTTCAGATCCCTTGATAAATGATCACTTTAAATGAACATGTCAAGGATTGAAAAGCTTGCATAAATGGTACCACACTTCGGTCTTTCTGTAACACATACAACAATAAAGGGAATTTTTTTCCAATGAAAGCAGAAATTGTGATATGAGACAATTTGGTGACATTGTGAATGAAGTATTTTTTCTGGTTTTAACTGGAGTGATGATTATGTAATATTGTTAATATATGTGATATAACATATTGTTTTTTTCTTTCTAGGCAATTCATAGCAGTTGAGAATGCCGAAGACCATCAATGTGAAACCATCACTTCTGTTCGATATATACATTTTAGTACAAATTTTGCTTTTTACTTTTAAAAGATGAACATTTTTCAGAATATGAAAACTTGGAAATAATTAATGTTCTCTTTTTTCTCATCATTATTAAATGATAAAAGAATTCCTGAAAACAGAACAGCATTATTCAAGGCAGTACTTATGACCCGAGAAACTAATTATCTTTAAAAAACTGACACATATTAACATTTAATGTAACTATTCACATATTGAATTCTGAAGTGCACTATTTTTAAGTGGGGCAATTTAATACTACTCTTTCCATGCACAAAACTAACTCTACAGTTGTCTCAAAAGCAAAATGAAGATCCTCTGTGAAAAAATATTATATATTTCTGTTTCTGAAGTGAACAATTTCATAATGATGTAAATGTCTCCCAATATCTGGATGTGGTGCTAAGGACAACTCATTTTTGACACGAGCTGTACAAAGAGGACTTTTCCTTAAAATAACTTCTAGCCAAATTTATACTCATCAGCATGCACAGAATGAAAAAGAGAGTGAAGATGATTTAGACAAGAGGATGTTTTCTTGAACCATAAAAGGAAAATGTGAGATTCAACTTGCAACATTGCAGAGATTTTTTTTTTGTCTGTATGTTGAACAGGTCTTAGTGGATTTAAATCAACTCAGATGTCATCAAACGAATCTTCTCCTCCATCTTTACAGAAGTTTTCTCCATCTGTGTCTCATGCTGCTGCTCCACCTACTCCATCTTTATCTTCAAGTCCACAATCTGGACTCTCAGGCCGACTTTCCAATGGCAGCTTCAGCACACAAAGCCTCACCAACTCCAGAGGATCTGTACATGGAATCTCTTTTTTGCTGCAGATTGGTCTCACTCGAGAAACAGTTACAATTGAGGCTCAAGATCTCTCCCTATCTATTGTTAAAGACCTAGTGTGCTCTGTAGTTTATCAAAAGGTACAGTAGAACATAAGAGTTTTACTGATTTTAATGATCATGTTATTATTATCTTTCTCCCTTCTTATTTAATTCAGTTTTCAATGAACATACAGGCAGAGTAAAAATTAACATGCAAATTCTGCTTATTTACATTGTTGTACATGGTGTCTTCTATATTTTGAGGATTTGATAGCATGAAACTTTTTCTATCCATTAGTACTGCATTGGAAATTTAAAATAATTCTATTTCAGAATTCCAAATTCTGTGAAGAGATTATCTGAACACAGAGGGCTGCCACCTTCAAGAGTTTATCATCAATATACAAAATGAACAGTGAATAGGATGGGAATGTAGGGACAGAATTTGCTTGCTTGCTGTTGTTCAATCCTTCTCTTATGTGTTTGTTAAAACCTTGAACAATTGACTACTCTTTCTATGAATAAGAAAATATAGATAGATTATAGATGGATTGGGGAGCCAGTTTGTTGTAGTGTTTAAGCATCAGACTAGAGACCAGGAGATTTGAGTTCTAGTCCCACCTTAGGTACAAAGCTAGTTAGTGACTTTGGGCAAGTCACTCACACTCATCTCTAGGAAGTAGGCAATGGCAAACCACTTCCAAAATCTTGCCAAAATAACTGCAATGACTGTCCAGGCAGTTACCAAGATTTAACACTGCTTCAAAGGGATAAAAAAGCATGTATTTATTTATGAGCCAAGGTGGTGCAGTGGTTAAATGCAGCACTGCAGGCTACTGCTAGATCAGCAGGTCAGCGGTTCAAATCTCACCGGCTCAGGGTTGACTCAGCCTTCCATCCTTCCGAGGTGGGTAAAATGAGGACCCAGATTGTTGGGGGCAATATGCTGACTCTCTGTAAACCGCTTAGAGAGGCCTGAAAGGCCTATGAAGCGGTATATAAGTCTACTGCTATTGCTATTGCTATTATTAAATATATATGCTGCCTATCTTTCTTTAAAGCGACTCTGGAAAGTTTACAATTAAAATGTTAAAATATTAAAAATATTAAATGCAAAGGCAAGAAGCAAAAATGGCAGGATGAATATAGAGATGGCCATTAGAGCAACCCTGTCAAAACCCCAGGCAACTGGCAGATTCAGTTTTTATGCTCTTCTTGAAGACCAACACCTATATTCCATAGAGTGGGGCCACAGCATAAAAGGTTCTCCTTTTACACACATCACCAACCACAGCTTTTTGACCAAGAGGGTCCACAGCATTTCCCTTTTACCAGAGTGAGTAGGATGGTCTGATATCATTGGGCAAGACGGTTCCTCAGATAACCTGGATTAAGATTTAACAATGCAGTCCTTTGGTTGTCTGTTTAATAAATAGCACTACTGAGTTCATTAGATTTTTATTTACATATTACACAATAATAGGCTTGCAATCTTTAGTAGAATTATGAATCTTGAATATATTATGTATAATGTCATAGGGAGGATTTAATTTAAAATTTAGCACCATGGAAAATTATTGCTTGTAGTTTGCATATGCTTGGTAATTTTTATCCAAGTGAAAATTTGTATAATATTACTTCATTTAATAAACTTCATTAGTATTATAGCATCTCCTTCAAAATTGGCAGATGGTTGTATTAGAATCAGTGTAGCAGTAGAAAGTACGGTAGATTGAGAGCCAGGTGTATATTGTATTTCTGATACTATTTCCCCACAGAAAGTTTTGGAGTAGGCTTTAAATTTAGTATCACCACTTGCATTGCTGAGAAAAGCAATATATTGAGATGTTTGTATTCATAAAGGGAGCAGGAAAAGTGTGTGTGATTCACTGGGATTTACACTCAGTTTGTCCCTGGGAAAAATCTTACAGGGAAAACATCAGCCCAGGGGTGCTTTGGTGATTTGCCAAAAGTCAGACAGGAAATTTCTTCAACAAATGAGTATTTGAATGTAAACTTTTTACAACCAAATTCAACATCTGGGCATCTATATTACGTTAATCTTTTTAGATAAAACTTGTGAACTCTGGTTTATCCTATATTGTGCTAGCAATATAAAATAAAAATACTAGTATCAGAAAACCAAACTTTCATTTACTTATTGTGGATCAGAGTGTGATCGGTTGATCAAAAATCTAAGATATCCTATGTTAAAAATGTATGCTTATTATCTTATGATTTGAAAATTGGATTATAGTATTTGCAAGTGAGATGTTAGTTGGATTCCGAAGAAATGATTACAGATATATGTGGCAAGTAACAAAGCTGGTTTCTTTTTGATCAGCTTGGAAGTTTATATTACCATTTGTGTAGTTCATCTTAACACTTGGACAACAGACTTCATTTTTAGGTGAAATCTTACATTTATATCTTACGGTAAACATTCCTACTTTCAAACTCATTTCTCATGTATATGCATACTTTAATTAGTCTAATATTATTGGCTACCCCTATTCTTTCTGTATAGATATTGGTTATATTTTTTCTTTATTCAAGCTTTTAAGTTAGTATCTTCCTGTTGATTCTTGGCAACTTCCAACTGTACAAGCACTTGGCTAAAGTTCAGAAGCATGTTATAGGAAGCCAATTGTACTCTAAAAGGAGTATAACTTTGGATTTTAAGTTTGTCCTTTCCAGTTGGCTTTAGAATGGTATATATGAACGAAAGCTCTTATTATGCCCACAGCAGCTGCAGAGTGAGCATATGTTCCATATAGACAACACACTTCTGATCAGGAAATAGGGAGGAGGGGTGCTTATATGTGGTGGATTTCTTTTTCATAAGAATTTTTGCAGCTGGTGCACAGGTGGCAGTATGACTCCAGTTGCATAAGTAGTTCTCTCAAATGGATTGGACCTGTAATCTTTGAGATGTGCAACTTTGTTTTAAAATAATATTTTAGACACATATATATGTTATGAGAATACTTCACAAGAAGCTATACCAATCATGAGAAAAACGGAATATTGAGATAATATCTTTATGCAGTCTCTAGAAAGTATATAAAATATTGTAAACATTAAACTTTCTAAAAGTTATTAATCAAGCAAGTGAATTCACAACCAGGAAAGAATAAAGGAAAAAATGGGAAAGATATTAAAACAATATGCTTACAGGGTTACTAACTTGGATTTCTGAGAGAATTGGCACACCTTTAGATGGATATTCTGATATATAGATATATAGAAACTGTATTGTGTTCAAGATTCATGGGGAAAAAAACAGGAAATAAGTGTTAGTCACTCAACTGTGGCAATATTAAATCTAAGCTATTAATATAATCTGTGTCTATCATTTGAGAAATATATTGAGAACACAAAAGAAATTGATTAGGCAGCTGTTAAAATAGTGTCAATTATATAAAGAGTCACTTGCCCAAAGTAACCTGGTTGGTTTCATATCTGACGAGGCTAGAACTCACAATTTCCTGGTTTTTAAGCCAGCATCTTAACTACTACCTAAACTGTGAATTAGTATATCAGGAGTCTAAAACAATAGGGTATTAATCTGCTGGCAAAATGAGAGAAATTTCAGTATCCCATGACAGGAGATAATTTAGAGGGATAGCTCTATTACCAGAGCTCTGCTTGATTCCTGCATGTTAAGATTCTGGTAAAAGATTTCAGAGAAGGGTTTTCTTTGACATAGTTACTTTTCTTGCCTTTCATTTTTTGCTGTAATCCTTTTTTATGTTATCTGCTTTCTTTAATGTTTCCTCTTCTCTCTTCTGTTATCCCTTAAAGTGGTGCTCTCTATTATCTTCCCTTTATCCGGTCTCATATACTCTAATCCTTTGAACTGTCAGAATTCATCTGATTCTGCATTTTTCTGTTTTACAGTCTCTTTTCTCACATGATTCATCCTTTCTGCCGTTCCAGAGAATTCTGTCTTCTATTGTTAATTGACTTCTTCAAAAAACTACACTGCTTCTAATAAACCTATTCATGCTTCTGTTAAAGATATACTGTTATATTACCTTAAAAATATCCTTTTCCTTAAGATATGCTGCTGAGTTTTTTTTTCCCCATCTTGTGTTAAATATTTAGCACTACATTACTATTGCTTTACATGTGTGAAAGCTAGCAATGGTGTTCGGGATTTACTTGTATCAAATTGTTCAATTAAAGACCTAACAGTTATGACTTCTGCCTTTAAAAAAGTTTTTTTTCATTTGACAAAATGACTCCTACAAAAGTCTTAAATAGTAGATGAAAATGGAATAGTTTTTCCATGCTTTAATCTTTTCCCTAGAGAAAGTGTCTCTTTGTTTATTAATCCTGGCATGATTCAGTTATGGGTTTTATCCTGCTTTCATCTTCTGCATAACAATTGCTATTATAATAATTAATATTTAATTTCTTGCTAACTAGACAAAGACTTTAAAAAGCTTACGTGTGTTTCATTCAAAATCATACAGATATATATATATATATATATACACACACACACACATACATACATACATACATACATACATACATACATACTCCTATTGGTAAGAATAATACTCTTTTGATGAATAAAATAAAAATTCCATTAATTGTAATCTTTTCTGCTCATATTTAGCAATGTCATCATAGCCTAAAATGGTGTAACTGTCAGGAAATACTTGTAAGGCACCAGGAAATGTAATGTACAATGTTGTATCTCAAACATTCACTCACATATGACTATATTGCAAATATGTGGCAATGTTTAACATTTGTATTATTTCTCTTTACTTGGGTAATTTTGCTTACCTCACGAAGGAAAAGTATTATGGGTATTTATTTATATAAAATATTTATATTAGGAGATTTAGTTATTTATTTACAATCAAACACAAATATTTAGAGTCATGCAGAAAAACAGAAAATGAATTTTAAAAAGAAGATATATCCCTAATATATTATCAGTACATCTATAATATTCAGTGCAAACTACAGTGCCAATTGAACAAAATTTAACAACTCTTCTACTGATTGCAGAAAACTTGTCTTGAATGAGAATAGTCGTCTCTTCTGAATTACCATAGCTATTAGGTTGAGTGTTATTAGAT